TTGAGAAACATAATTTTTATCTAATTCGCTGAAGAGAAGATGCTTGTGCCCCACTGTATAATTACACTTTGAGATGGACACATTTTTCCACTGTGTGCATTTAACTGTGAACCGTCAGAGTGCACATACTAGCATCGGATTCAACTCCAGCTTGGATCATACACATCGCGTATGTCCACTCTTGTTAGGGTGCACAGAATTTCATGTTGCTCCAGGTGACAGCATGTCTTCAGGGACATGCTGGCATCCAAAGGCACATTTTATGACAAAAAATATTAACAAGATTTTTTTTTTTAAGAAAAGCGAAATCTAGCCATAAGATCCAATTGACTCATTCCCATTTTGGAAATAATAGGGTTAATGTAGTTTTCATTTTTCATTCACTCTCGCATACACACACATTCACACATGTATACACTCTTCACCCATTCATGCACACTCACCCACACAGTGTACACACACCCATATGTGCACACCCACACACGTACATGCACACTCATACACATACACATGTTCACACTTGTACCCACATATACACACATAGATACACACGTATACACATGCACACATAGTCACACTTCCATACACATCTATGCACACTCATGTGCACACGCACATGCCCTTGCATGCAAGCACACATACACAGTCATACTCATCCACACATGCACTCTCACCCACACATGCACCCCCCACATAGGCACATGCACATTCATACACTCTCATGCTAGCACACAGAGACTGGTAGCACCTTCTCTCCTACATTTCAGGGACTGCTGTGAGCACCTTCCTGTGGTGTCCTCCAGATCTGTAAGGCTGCTGTGACTGTCCTCCCTATGATGACACGCTGGAGTCCCGTATCACATGGGATGTGTGCTCAGTATCACACTCAAACCACGTGCCAGACTCAGGAAGGGCAGGGAGTGAAGGCAAAACTGTGTTCACACTGAAAGAAAGCAAAAATGTTGATGCGGAGGCTTTATTTTAATTGATTGGGAGGGCATTTGTTTCGGTAAGTAATTATAAAAGGGGGATCTCATGCTGCAGCTACCATCCCCAAGCACACTCATTCATCAGATTCCAGGTGGCCGGGTGAGGGCCCGGGAGCTGAGAGCACCCAGGGGGATAGTTTTAGGGAAAAGCACGTGTCAGGTTTACTTTATTTTCTGAGATTCAAGAGCCTACCTCAAAACACTTTTTTTTTTGTTTAGTTTAAAAATTACACTCATTTACCTGTGAAGTATTTTGTTCTCATAATTTCATCACAGGAAATAAAAATTTCTACAAATACTGTAGAACATTCTGGAACATTTGAATGCATATGAGCTAGATTTTTTTTTTTTTTTGAATATTGTAGCTTGTGATGAAAACAAAGATCATGACAAATAATGACCCAAATTTAGAAGTTTCTTTGAGTCCCAGCCCTCCCTCCTTCCTTCCTTCTCTCTCTCTCTCTCTCTCTAAATTTTAAAGCCTTCCCAAGACTTGGAGGGTATGTAGTGGACAGATACGATGAGAATGGGCTGGGAAACTGGGGATCCCATCCCTTCTCTCCTTAGGAGCGTGCAGAATTGAGAATTGCCTGCGGATGAGGAAAATGGATATGGAGCAGTGACAAGCAGATAGTCCAGGTCTCCGGCCCCTGCGTGGTTACTGGCTTACAGTAAATACCATGCTTTGCCTTTGTTTTGCCACCTGGTGAAGGTATGCAATAATACCAAATTACATGTTTATCTGCATCAAACTAGGTTTTACACCTGCAAACGTGATATCCATGAACAGATGGCCACTATATCAAAATACACGGACTCCCCGGGGCCAACTCCCAAAAGGGGCCCCCACACGCCTGAGGGGTGAATGCCCAGCCTCGATTCACGGCAGAATCTTGTATCTGTCCACTACATACCCTCCAAGTCTTGGGAAGGCTGCTCACCAGAACCGAGGCCGCTGCCCCGTGTGAGCCCTGACTGAAGGCTGACCTGGGCTACAGGTGATCCCTGAACTACTGGGCTATGGTGGTTCAGGAGGATCCCTGAAGCTGATCCCATCTGAGGTCCCAGCACCCTCCTCCCCCGCTAGGCAGCTCCCAGAAGGGGCAGAAATGCAGGGGCCGAGCAGGAGGGTTGGGTGTCTGAGGAGCAGACCTGCAGGAAACCTAATATCATCCACACCCTCAGTGTTCTCGCCTCCTCTCTGCTTTTTAATATTTTCTTTCTTTTTTTTTAATGACAACTTTTTAATATTTTCAAAAAAAGGTAAGAAGTAAAGCCCGGTCCATACTCCCTCCCCAGGCTGGGCCCTGCCCTCCCGAACTCCCTCATTTCAGGGTCTGACCAGTGGCTGCCAACTATTTTGTTCCAGAAACGGTGTCAAATGGACAGTTGCGTTTATTACATTTCTTAAGCTGAAAACAGCAAAGAAGATTTTGAAAATATGGATACTTATCAACAGCCACCTCACTCCACACATGACCCAGACACTCACCAGTTATAATTAACTGCGATCAACATGCTTTAGAGGGATTTCTCCACGGTGTGCAGTTTTGTCTTTTGCATTTTTCACCTAATGACTTGCCCATGTTGTCAAAGCATACTTTATTATGTCGGGAGAATATTGCATCACAGGACTGAACTACAGCTGACTAAACCACCACTCACTGCTGACGACTTAGATAGTAGCTACTTCCCAGGGAGCATTTCTGTGCATAATGCATGGTCTGCATTTCATATCGTTAGACTCTGCTTCCAAAAGTAAAATTATTGGGCTGAAGGGTGTCAACATCTTAAAGTTTCTCTCCTTTTTACTCTCTTTCATCAAGATTCTCTCATGTATAGCCATATGACTGGCACATAAGACGTTTCTAATTCTTTTTTTATTCTCAAGGAATTTATTAATCTCTTTCCATCCAATTTTTTAAAAAGAATTTTTTATTTTTCAATTTTAGTTGACCTCCACGGTTTCTGAATACTCCGTACAGAATTACTTTGGGTCATTGATCCATCCAAAGACGTTTCCTGGAGGTTTCGCTGGCCATGGGATACTGACAGGACAAAGGACAGGGACTTGGTCCCAGTGGTGGGTGGGTGGCAACATTTGGGACTGGAGGTCAGGTGACCCGAACGCCAGTCCTGAATCTACTGTTTCCTATGTCATTTGGGGAAGTCAGTCAGCTTCTCCAAGATTCAGTTTTCTCATCTGTAAAATAGGCATTTTGGTGATGCCACCTGGCAAGGTCCTCCGGGTGAGAGGGAGATGGTCAAATGAAAATGGCCTGTTGGGCAGCAGGTTGTCATTGGCTGCGCGTGTGCGTGTGCGTGTGTGTGTGTGTGTGTGTGTGTGTGTGTGTGCCTACAGTGACTGTGTGTGCCCACACTCAGGAGTGCTTGCCGCTGGCATCTGAAGTCCTCCGCCCGCAGGTGCTGAAGCTCTCCTGTCACCTGCCTGCCCCGCTTCCGCCCTCTGGGCAGACAAGATGGTCTCTGTCTGTCCTCTCAACCATCCCTGAAAACATAAGTGCGCTTTGCCATGTTCCCTTAGGATCCGGCTCTGATAACGTGATAATGAGTGATTACATTTAATGAGACACCCTTCTCAGGTCATATCAATGTATTTTAATGGAGCCTTTCTGGGAAATATCTTAACCCCCAGTTTCCCAAGTAGTTAATGGAACACTACTTCAGGTAGTTGTCCCCTCAAAAAATAAAGAAAATAATAAAAAGTAAGTAAAATTGATAGGGTCAAATAAGAGGTGAGGCATGCAATTTTATGCCCCTTGAGGATTAACAAGATATGGCACACAACGTTAAAGAATCTACAATGTCCTGCAGCAAAAATGTCAGGTTTTATCTAATAATTTATATGCCTTCCAACTCTCTCACTCGCAGGACAGCTGTCAATATCCTGCAGTGTCCCCTGGGAAATGCTGTCTTCCACCGAGAAGCCAGTGTGCCGTGCACATGTAGTCTGGCCTGGGCTGCCGGGAGCACACACTGCTGTCCTCGTTAAAACCAAAGCCTGTGTTTATTGTGGTAAAATGCTCAGGACATAAAAGTTGCCATGTTAGCCATTTGTAAGTGTCCAGTTCGGTGACATGAAACCCATTCACATCGCTCTGCAGCCATCATACCTGCTGCTGCAGGACTTTCCCTCTTCCTTCTCACCAAAGTTCCGAACCCCTCAAACAGGTCTGGACAGCCACCCCAGTCTGGCACCGGCCCTCCGTGTTCTGTCTCCATGGATCTGACTCCTCCGGGTGCTCCTGTAAGTGGAATCACACAGTATGTGACTGACTCATGACACTGAGCACCGTGTCTTCAAGGTCCATCCATGCTGTGTCAGGATTTCCTTTCTTTTCACAGGTGACACACCATATTCTGCCTGTCCATCCTTCTGACTGTCAGTGGACACTGGGCTGTTTCTTCCTTCTTGGCTCCTGCAAATAATACTTCTTTGTACCACCTGGCTCTTGGACACCTGCCTGGGGTCCCCTCTGGGTGACGCCTCCCTCCAGGCAGGGGCCTGGGGTGCTTGGTGGCCTCCTCCTTTTGAGTGAGGGCCAGAGCATTTTTATCACTTGTCTCTGAGGAGTCTTTATATTCACAGAAATTGTGTAATTCCTTTATGGAATACCTTGCCATAAAAAGTTAACAGCCAGGTCCCGCCTGGTGGGAAGGCATGAGGGATATGCGGGTCATCATACAGGAAAGGAGAAGCCTGCAGGAGAGAGTGATGGGGTTTCTTCCTTTCCTGCCCAGCTGCATCCCCATGTGACGTCTTCAGAAGGACCTTTCCTCCCCTTGAGGCTTCTTCCTTGCAGGGTCTTCTCCCCGGAGAGAGGCCGTCGTGTCCGAAACCCAATTTCTGCCTCCAAGGTGCAGAGTGGGTGGTCACCTAGAGGGGACAGCCTTGCGGCCTGTGAGCTTGAGGAACACGGGGTGCGTGCTGGGGAGGCCGTGTCCTTGAACGTGACGTGCTCCTCACCGTGTGTCGTTTTTCTGCCCTAGCTTATGTTCCCGAGGAAGAATTGAAGGCGGCAGAAATAGATGAAGAAAACGCGGAGGAGGATGGGCTCTCCCTGGACATTCAGGAAGGTGACTACGTGGGCGGCGACGACGCCGAGGTCAAAGAGGCCCCGAGCTACCAGGACTCCCCCATCAGCACGGCCACCAACCAGGACGCCGGCTACGGGTCACCTTTCAGCGAAAACAGCGACCAGCTGGCCCATTTCAAAAGCTCCTCCTCCCGAGAAGACAAAGAGGACCCGCAGGGCCCAGACAGCGCCTCCTACCCCCAGGACAGCCTGGCCCAGATCAAGGCCGTCTACGCGAACTTGTTCTCGGAGTCCTGCTGGTCCAGCCTGGCGCTGGACTTAAAGAAGTCCAGCTCGACCACCAGCAGCAACGATGCGGGCCCCAAGGAGAGCTCCACCCCCACCCCCACGCCCCCCGCCACGACGGTGGCGGCGGCGGGCACCACCACTGGCACCACCGGGACCACCGCCAGCACACCCAGCTCCAGCACCAGTTCCAGCAGCACCAGCTCCAGCACCAGCACCAGCACCAGCGGCGGCGGCGGCTCAGGCTACGACTGGCACCAGGCCGCGCTGGCCAAGACGCTGCAGCAGACGTCCACGTACGGGCTGCTGCCCGAGCCCAGCCTGTTCAGCACCGTGCAGCTCTACCGGCAGAACAACAAGCTGTACGGCTCGGTGTTCACGGGCGCCAGCAAGTTCCGCTGCAAGGACTGCAGCGCCGCCTACGACACGCTGGTGGAGCTGACGGTGCACATGAACGAGACGGGCCACTACCGCGACGACAACCGGGACAAGGACTCCGAGAAGACCAAGCGGTGGTCCAAGCCCCGGAAGCGCTCCCTGATGGAGATGGAAGGGAAGGAGGACGCCCAGAAGGTGCTCAAGTGCATGTACTGCGGCCACTCCTTCGAGTCCCTGCAAGACCTGAGCGTCCACATGATCAAGACTAAGCATTACCAGAAAGTGCCTCTGAAGGAGCCAGTACCAGCCATCACCAAACTGGTCCCTTCCACAAAAAAGCGGGCCCTGCAGGACCTGGCATCCCCGTGCTCCCCCGAGCCAGTGGGGGTCGCCGCTGAGGCCGCCCTGAGCGAGTCAGCCAAGGACCAGAAGACCGCCAACCCCTACGTGACGCCCAACAACCGCTACGGCTACCAGAACGGCGCCAGCTACACCTGGCAGTTCGAGGCCCGCAAGGCGCAGATCCTCAAGTGCATGGAGTGCGGCAGCTCCCACGACACCTTGCAGCAGCTCACCGCCCACATGATGGTCACCGGCCACTTCCTGAAGGTGACCACGTCCGCCTCCAAGAAGGGGAAGCAGCTGGTGCTGGACCCGGTGGTGGAGGAGAAGATCCAGTCCATCCCTCTGCCCCCCACCACGCACACCCGGCTCCCCACCCCCCACGTCAAAAAGCAGCCCGACTCGCCGGCGGGGTCCACGGCCTCCGACGAGAAGAAGGAGCCGGACAAGGAGAAGGCGCCGGCTGTGGGGGACACGGAGAAGAAGATCAAGGAGGAGAGCGAGGACGCCCCCGAGAAGTTTGAGCCCACCACGCTCTATCAGTACCTCCGTGAGGAGGACCTGGACGACAGCCCCAAGGGCGGGGTGGACATCCTCAAGTCCCTGGAGAACACGGTCTCCACGGCCATCAGCAAGGCCCAGAACGGCGCGCCCTCGTGGGGCGGCTACCCCAGCATCCACGCGGCCTACCAGCTGCCGGGCGCCGTGAAGCCGCTGCCGGCCGTGCAGAGCGTGCAGATGCAGCCGTCCTACGCCGGCAGCATGAAGCCGCTGTCCTCGGAGCACAACGCGTTGCTGCACTCCCCGGGGAGCCTCACGCCGCCGCCCCACAAGAGCAACGTGTCGGCCATGGAGGAGCTGGTGGAGAAGGTCACGGGCAAGGTCACTGTGAAGAAGGAGGAGAGGCCTGTGGAGAAGGAGAAGGGCTCCCCGGCCAAGGCCATGTCCCCTGTGGCCAAAGAGAATAAGGACTTCCCCAGGACGGAGGACGGCAGCAGCAGCAGCAGCAGCAGCAGCAAAACCCAGCAGAAGAAGGGCCCGGAGGCGGAGGCAGGCAAGGCCAAGAAGGAGGGTGCGGCGGAGGCCCACACCCCCAACGGCACGGAGCCGCTCAAAGCCAAAGTCACCAACGGCTGCAGCAGCCTGGGCATCATCACGGACCACTCGCCGGAGCCATCCTTCATCAGCCCCCTGAGCGCGCTGCAGTCCATCATGAACACGCACCTGGGCAAGGTGTCCAAGCCCGTGAGCCCCTCGCTGGACCCGCTGGCCATGCTGTACAAAATCAGCAACAGCATGCTGGACAAGCCCATCTACCCCGCCACCCCCGCCAAGCAGGCCGACGCCATCGACCGCTACTACTACGAGAACAGCGACCAGCCCATCGACCTGACCAAGGCCAAGAACAAGCCCCTGGTGTCCGGCACGGCTGACGCAGTCTCCTCGCCCTTGCGGGAGAGCGCGCTCATGGACATCTCCGACATGGTGAAGAACCTCACCGGCCGGCTCACCCCCAAGTCCTCCACGCCCTCCACGGTGTCCGAGAAGTCGGACGCCGACGCCAGCAGCTTCGAGGAGGCGCTGGACGAGCTGTCGCCCGTCCACAAGAGGAAGGGCCGCCAGTCCAACTGGAACCCCCAGCACCTTCTCATCCTGCAGGCCCAGTTCGCCTCCAGCCTGCGGGAGACGCCCGAGGGGAAGTACATCCTGTCGGACCTGGGCCCCCAGGAGCGGGTGCACATCTCCAAGTTCACGGGGCTCTCCATGACCACCATCAGCCACTGGCTGGCCAACGTCAAGTACCAGCTGAGGAGGACAGGCGGGACCAAGTTCCTGAAAAACCTGGACACAGGGCACCCTGTGTTCTTCTGCAACGATTGTGCCTCTCAGTTCAGAACTGCGCCCACGTACATCAGCCACCTAGAGACGCACCTGGGCTTCAGCCTGAAGGACCTCTCCAAGCTGCCCCTCACCCAGATCCAGGACCAGCAGAGCGTCTCCAAGGTCCTGGCCAACAAGGCCGTGGGTCCGGTGGGGGCTGCCGAGGACGATCTGGGCTCCACATTCCAGTGTAAGCTGTGCAACCGGACTTTTGCGAGCAAACACGCAGTCAAACTGCACCTTAGCAAGACCCACGGCAAGTCCCCCGAGGACCACCTGATCTACGTGACAGAGCTGGAGAAACAGTAACGAGCGGCCAGGTACGCGAGGGACCCCGCCCGGCACATTGCACTAAACGTCTTCACACTGCACTAGGCCCGGCCTGAGCCTCCGAAATCAGCCTTCCTTGGGTTGCCGAACGGCCTGTCTGGACCTTGGTTTTTCTTACACACATTTTGTAGCTATATTTATATGCTCTTTGTCTGATTGCGCATGTCATTTTTCTTTTTTCCGTGAGTCAAAGTCTGACCTTTATTTTCAACATCTGTTCTTGATGTTAAGCTATCTTTTGTAGGAAACGATGGGGCACACTACTCAGAGACACCAACTTAGCAGGAAAGGAAGACACAAATAACAATGGTAAAAAGACATCCTAAACATGACAAAGTTGCCATGACAGTAAAGGTCATAGGACCTAGTGGTGTCAAATTTAACCCTTTGAGGACTGTAATGCATCTCTGTGCCTTTCACTCAAAAAACAAAAACAAAAACAAAAAAAAAAAAGAGAAAAAAAAAAGAAAGAAAAACAAAAAAGGCTTAAAGGCATTTCATTCAGATCAAAAGCTGTGTCAGACACAAAACTTATTTAATAATTAAAAAATGAGCTTTTATATGCAGACTGGTTTGTGAAGGGAACATGCATGCCGCTGTTGGAAGACAGAAGTTGTCTAGGACTTGCGGGGTTAGGAAGCCACAACGTCACACGTTCAAAACAAAAAACTAACAACAAACACCCCAATTGCCACTATGCCCAAACCCTCTGGATACTGAAGAAAATGCCACTTTTGGCAAAAAAAAAAAAAAGAAAGAAAAAAAAGAAAAAAAAAGTATGCAAGCTATTATTTAAAACATGTAAAAACGCTGTTTGTTTGTTTTTTTCTCCTGTAAAATACTGCGGTTTATAGTTATTTACAAATGTAAGCTTTGGTACAAGCTGACCTTTCTATAGCGCGCTGCATCGATAAATGAAAAAAACAAAACAAAACAAAAAAAACGGGGCAAATGTCGGAGTACTTCCCTTATAAATTGGCAGCATCCGCTTAAAAACTCCTCTATCCTACCATCCCAAATGGTTACCTATCCTACCATTTTAACCTATCCGACTTTCTTTGTACCTTCTGGCTGTATGCTTTCTCTTTTAACTTTTTATATTGTCATTTTATATTAAATTTCTGTGTATATAATGTAAAACCACGATTTTTTGAATAAAAATTAGTTCCTGCAGCTTGATTTAAATAGAGAAATTTTACTGGCATTTGCATCTCTCCAGATGCATGTATATCAGACAAAAAAATAAATAAATGAAGACAAAACAAGGCACTATTAATTATACGTTTGATGTTCTGTCATTAATATTGTACAGTACATTTGGGTTCACACAATTAAATCCACTGTTTTCTCAACTGTAAAATAAATCCTCACGCCGTTCTCGGTTTACGTCGATTGTCATGTCGTCATTCTTCTGCCTCGGGAGATGTTATTTCAGCAGCGAGAGGTCTTGCTGATGCAATCGACCAACGGAAATCCCACTCAGAATCATCATTTTGTGATTTGTGTGCTGACATGCCTTCACTCAAATGATAAGTATTGCACTTTGAGAAACGATAATTAGCATTTTTAACTCCACTGGGTGCCACCGAATTGAGCTGTTGAGTGATGGGTGTTTGGTCCATAGAGAGCCTGAGGCCTGCATATGGAGGGCCCTCGTGGACAGTTACAGGTGTTCCCAGGGTGTTTTCTGGGCGTCTGGTGACTTGATAGAGTGGCAGGGAAGACCCAGAGCCTTGGGACCAGCTCTGCATTCTCTAAAGAGGAAAGCCTGTTAACTGTGATTTAAAAAATGCAGGTTTTTAAAAATATATATATATTTTATTGATTTTTTTACAGAGAGGAAGAGAGAGGGATAGCGAGTTAGAAACATCGATGAGAGAGAATCATCTATCTGCTGCCTTTTGCACAGCCTCCACTGGGGATGTGCCTGCAACCAAGGTCCATGCCCTTGACCGGAACCGAACCTGGGACCTTTCAGTCTGCAGGCCGACGCTCTATCCTCTGAGCCAAACGGGTTTCGGCTAAAAAAAATGCAGTTTTGAAACACCAGCTGCCATCTGATTTAGGGTTTGGTACCAGTCTTCTGCAGGTTGCCTTGAGCACCCAGGACTCTCTGAGGCACCAGCGGGACCCTGGGCATGTGAGGTTGTGAGCACTGAGCCCTGAGGTCCAGGGCTCTGTCTGTATTGAGGGAAACCTCAGGAGCGCTTCAGGACATGGCATAGAGATTTCTTTTCCTACCTTTTGCTTAAATTTCTGTTACATACATCCTGAGAAAGGGTAGAATTTGGATGCTCTCTTTGGAAGCAGCTGAGCAGCTGAGCTGTGTTCACTATTGCCTGTTGTCCGGCAGGCAGCAGGATGGCCAACCAGGTGGACCTATTTGCAGTCTATCCTAATACCCTGGACACGGGCAAGCTGGGCTACTGTCCCAACTGTTTTCATTGGAAAATATCTCTGTCCTTTATGAGCTTTAGCCACTGAGACATTTGGGTTCAGTTACTGGGTGACTGTACTGTGGGCTGCAGGGGTGATGGAGAACGACAGGCCTATAATGGAGCTGGGGTCCTTGAATGAGAATCCTCTGAAGGTTGCCACCGGTCCACAAGCATGATTATGTGATTTCACCAATAGTAAGAGTCAGAGCCACAGGCACACGGTGTGAAGGGAGGTGCCATTTGGGGATTGGGCCCCGGGTTCTGTCCCAGCGAACAGCCGCTAAGCTATTCGAAAGCTGCTTGCAACCTGAGTTCTGACACAGGGGTCTAGGCCCAGATGCAGGTTTTCTTAAATTTTTTGAAAAATATATTTCCATTGATTTCAGAAAGGAAGGGAGTGGGAGAAAGAGAAACATCAGTGATGAGAGAGAACCATTGAGGGGCTGCCTCCTGCACACCGCACACTGGGAATCAAGCCTGTAACCCAGGCATGTGCCCTGACCGGGAATAAAACCATGAACTTCTGATTCATAAGTCCATGTTCAACCACTGAGCCATGCCAGCTGGGCAATTTTTTTCTTTTTCTAATTCATTAACCCCAGTTCTCCAACCCATAGATAGTACAAGACTAATTTGTCTTCCTATTATTTATACTGATGCTGAAGGTGGGGACCTAGATATAGTGAGGGGATGCTACTCCATGCCAGGGACATCCTTGATGCTTCACCCACAGCAACTCATTTGGGCCTCACAGCACGGGGAGGGGGCTGTTACTCCACCATTCTAGCAGACCAGCCCAGCACAGAGATGTCCACGTTCCGGGGGGCTTGAATTTGACACAACCTGAGCCAGAGCTCAAAGCTCTGGTGTTGCTCCAGCCATGCTCCTAATTGCCCCCTGTGCAGGCCCAGGGGTGGGCAGGGGGATGAGAGCTGAGGGTTTCAGGTGATGCTGATGGACAGGAACGTGAGTGCCACCCTGAGCAGATGCCCATTCTTCACGTGGCTTCCACCTGCAACCCACCTCAGATTGCAAAACAGGACAGCTCTGTTTTCTATTGGATCTGAAAACTAAGTTGAAGTCATGTTTGATAGGAATATGTAGCAGCTTCAATGACTACAGGTCTACCTCATACTGTGAAAACTCAGTTTGTGTAGGCAGCAGTGAGTAACCCAGGAAAGCAGTTGCCACCTCTAATTAAAGGATTCACCTTACAAATGGTTCTGTTTCCTTTATCTGTGTTTGGATACATGTGCCCATCCTTGCCTTCTGGTGTCGAGTGTGCTCTGAGTTTCTCCCAGTCCTTCCTTAGCCCACGTACCAGGTCTCCACCTTCTAGAGTTCGACAGCCAAAGGAGCTGGAGAGAGCTGGCCGCCTGCCCACCAGTAGGAGGCTGCAGGGGGCTTGGTAGTGACGTGACAGCCCAGTGTTTTCTATTGGTTGGGCGACCTTGGGCACAGGCAAAAGTGACTCCACTTGAAAACTAAATACTTTTTAAATGTATATATTTTTATAGATTTCAGAGGTGAAGGAAGAGAGAGAGATAGAAACATTAACAATCAGAACCATTGATCAGCTGCCTCCTCTGTGCCTCCTACTGGGGATCGAGCCTGCAACCCGGGCATGTGCCCTGATCAAGAATAGAACCAACCATGACCTCCTGGTTTATAGGTAGATACTCAATCACTGAACCATGCTGGTCAGGCATATTTTTTCTTTTAACTGTGGGATTCTAAACAGTTTGAGATATTCTTCAGAATGTGTTGGGTAAAAATATGTTATTTAGTCAGTATTTAAAGAGATAGGAAGCCTATAAAATAATGGTAGATAATGCTTTATGTAAGAGAAATAACCTTTTAGGCATTGTATGAAAAAAGTGATTGAGTAATATTTAAAATTTATGTCACTTCTTTTCTATATTTAGTAATCTTTATAAAGTTTCTTACATTAGTCAAACACATCTAAACCTCTTCCAAATTTTCAGAAATCTGTCCATACAAATAAAGGTTTCTGCTTTCTTCCAAGGTAAAATTTCATGTTACTACCTTCCTGATTATTTTTCTGAAGATAAAGGTGAATTGTTGAATTATAAACTTAAAAAGAGTAAAATTTGGAGAGTACCCATGCTTTTTACATACCTTTTACTTCTGTAATAGAAGCAATATACTAGTATAGTCAGTGCCCAAAGCTTGGAACACAAAGACATAAAGAAGGAAATAAAAATAACTACTGCTTTCATCTATGAAAAAATCATTAATATTTTAGTAACATATTTTTTTCCTGTCATGCTTTTACAAAATAGAGATCACACTGAACACACTTTTGTACTTTTCTTTACTTGATAGTAGATAATGAGTATTTTCTCATTTCATTAAATATCACACATTTCTCATCTTATTGAGATGGTCTCTGGTTTAGATAGAATTTTAAAAAGCAACATTTAGATTCTTCTCAAGTTTTCACTATTACAAATGAGTGCAAAGAACATTCTACTGGGTATGTCCGGTTGTTTTATTAGAACAAACACCCACATCCGACAC